ATCATCAGGAGGGACCAGTCACTGGAGAAGGATATCATGTTTGGTAAGGTGGAGGGTCAGAGAAAAAGAGGAAGACCCCAACGAGATGGATTGGCCAGGTGGCAGCATCGATGGACTCAAGTATGGCAATAGTAGTGAGGTTGGTTCAGGATCAGGCAGTGTTTTGTTCTGCTGTGCATAATGTCGCTATGGGTCAGTACCAACTCGATGGTACCTAACAACAATAACAACAATGTATAGGATCATAGAGTCCTGGTGTGGCTTTGTGGGCTAATGCGCTGGACTGCAGAGTCAGTTTGAATCACAAAGTTGGCAGTTCAAGCTCACCAGCTGCTGCTTGGAAACCCCATACAGGGTCACTATGGGTTGGAACTGACTCGAAGGCACTTCACAGCAACAACAATATATAGGGCCATAGTATCTGCAAATAGAGTTTTATTCTTTGCCAATTTGGATGCCTTCAATTTCCATTTCTTACCTTATAGCTCAGGCTAAAACTTCTAACACAATATTGACTAAAAGTCGTGCTGAAAGGCATCCTTGTCTTGATTCTTGTTCACAAAGAGAATGCTTTCAGTTTTTCTCCACCGAGAATAATGTTGGCTGTTGGATTTGTATCTTTAATTAAGCTGAGGGTTTTCCCTTCTATTCCAATTTTGTTTTGTGTTTTTTATCAGGAATGGATGCTGGATTTTGTCAAATTCCTTTCTGCATCAGTTGATATAACATGTGGTCCTTTTCCTTTGTGGTGGATTACATTGATGGTTTTTCTAATATTGAACCATGCTTGCATTCCTGGTATGAATCCCACATGGTCATGGTGTATTATTTTTTTGATATGTTGCTAAGGATTCTGTTGAGAATTTTTCCATCTATGTTCAGAAGTAATCAAAACAGCCTGGTACTAGTACAATGAGAGGGATTGTTGTTGTTAAGTGCTGTTGAGTTGGTTCTGACTCATAGTGACTCTGTATAGGGTTTCTGAGGAGTGACTGGTAAGCTTGAACCTCCGGCCTTACAGTTCAAACCAACCTTGCAGTCCAGCGCATTAACCCACAGAGCCACACCAGGACTCCTCATGAGGGATATTGGTCTATAAATTTTGTTTTAGTGATTTTCTTTGTCTGGTTTTGGTATGAGGGTTATGCTTGCTTCATAAAATATATTTGGGAGTTTTCCATCCTTTTCTATGTTCTGGAATAGTTTGAATAGAATTAGTGTCGGCTCTTCTTTGCATATTTGATAAGTATTCACTATAAAGTCATCTAGGCCCTGACTTTTTTTTGTTTGGAGTTTTTCCATGACCTGATCAGTTTCTTCTTTTGTCATAGAACTATTCAAGTTTCCTACTTCATTCAGTTAGTTTCAGTTGTTGTTGTTAGGTGCCCTAAAGTCAGTTCAGCTTTTATGTTAACATTTTATTTTGTTTGTCTAATGAGACAAGGCCTGTACCTTACCTTTTTCACTTCTCAGAAAGCCTATCAAAGAGAAAGAATAAACCTATGATCAGGCTGTGAACCTCAAGGTCAGCAGTTCGAAACTACCAGCTGTTCTGCAGGAGAAAGATGAGGGTTTCCGTTCCCGTAAAGATTTACAGCCCAGAAACCCTGTACAGGGTTGCTATGAGTCAGAACTGACTCCATGGCACATAACCACATTGCCATCAAGTCCATTGAAAGTCATAGCAACTCTGTATGATAGCAGAACTGCCCCATAGGGCTTCTAAGGCTGTAATTTTCACAGAAGCTAACTGCTACATTTTTCTCTTCCTGAGTGGCTGATGGATTCTAATTGTTGACCTTTCAGTTGAAGACAAGTGCTTAACTACAGTCCCACCAAGGCTCCTTATAGAAAGAATAAGAAAAGACTAATTAAAATAAATTTACATAGTATAACAATTACTTTTGTAAATTCTTAATTCATATGGGGTATGGTAGACCCCCAAGAGATGGATTGGCCAAGTGGCAGCTCTGATGGGCTCAAGCATGGCAACAGTAGTGAGGTTGGCCCAGGATCGGGCAGTGTTTTGTTCTGCTGTGCATAAGGTTGCTATGGGTCGGTACCTGCTTGATGGCACCTTACAACAACAACAACAACATGGTGTGGTGCTGTGGGTTAATGCACCAGACTGCAAAGCTGTGTGAACTGCAAGGCCGGTGGTTCAAGCTCACCAGCTGCTCCTCGGAAACCCTACTATACAGGGTTGGAAAAGTACTGAACTGTTAACTGCTAGCTTGGTTATTCAAACCCATCAGCTGCTCTTTGGAAACTGTTTACAAGTTTGCTATGTGTTAGAACTAATGCTGGACACTTAACAAGTCCTTTAGTTCATTCAACACATTTGGTCATTTATACAGCAAATATTTATTGAATGCCTACTATATCTTAAGTACTTTCTCAGATTCTGGGTATAGCAGTAAACAAAATAGGTGTCATCTTTGTCTTCATGAAGCTTATAATAGAGTAATGGAAGATAAAAATAAACAAACATAATACAATATGTCAGTTATAACTGCTATGAGAAAATGAAATCAGGGTAATAGGAATATGGAGTTCAGGATATGAATTGGGCTGTTTTACTTGTATTTGTTGTCAGAAGAAAGCCTCTCTAGTTATGTGATATTTTATCAGGGATTATAGGAACATGTCCTACGGATTTCTGAGAGAAGAATTTTCCATGTAAAAGGAACAGTAGATGCAAAGATCCCCAAATAGAAGTAGGCTTAGTGGTTTTTGAAGAAATGTCCTAAAGCAAAGTCAGCAGGATTAGAGCTTATAGTAGAAAAAGTCAAGTCATATAATCCTTTGAAAACACTTCCGGTTTTATGTTTTACTCTAAGCGAGTCTAGGGGTTCATTGAATTCAGAGCAGTCCTGTTTACCTAGCAAACATTGAAATTGAAGGGACATTAACCATATAAGTCAATGACAATATCAGTTCATTTTTTATTAGACATGTCTTTTTGGTCATCTTACTTTTGCTCTTTAAAAAAAAATTTTTTTTTATAATGAATTGAGTAAAGGTTTGCAGAAAAGATAATCGGTTTTACATTCAGAAAATTATATACCTTGTTTCTTCTCAGTGATTGAAATCCCTTCCATGCAACAACAGTTACCCCACTTTCTCCTTAATTTTGCTCTTTAAAGTAATTTTCCTTCATTGTTTATGGGGTACTCAATTTGAATGATGAAAAATTTGGAGTCAGATACTGGTAATGGTTGTACAACATGATGAACATAATTAATGTCATTGAAAGATGTTGAAATGGCAATTGCTTTGTTTTGTGTATATATATATATATATATAAAAGCTTTATCAAAACTTTTAAAAAGATTATATTCTTGATATATCATCGGGTTAGAAATTTAGAAATTGAATTTTAATATATGCCTGCTTTTTAGTTCCAGAATAATGAAAGTATTTTGTATTTAATTGTACACAATACTACTTTATAGTAAATCTTGCTGTATTTGCTGCTAATTTATCCATCGTTATATAATGCCATGACGACATAAGGCAAAATAGTTTAAGATGTGATTAAAAGTACACAATTAAACTGAACTGTTATGTGATGTGGGATTTTTTTTAATAAGGATTTTTTTCTTTTATTCCAATGCTAAGGATTTGAAACGGTCCTTGCCAGCTGGTCTTGGTCTCTCAGAAACCCAGATTACATCCCATGGCTTTGACAGTACCAAAGAGGGAGTTATTGAAGCAGGAGCATTTCAAGGTGAGAGTCCATTTATTTTTAAACAGGCTGGGATTGAGGATGGAAATTGTTTACCACATGCTGCGTTTCTTACAAATACAGTACAAGGATTAAGCCCTTTGTTCTTTGATAAAACATTGATTATAAGTATAATTTTTTTCTTCAGCTTAAGTAATTTATAAATAGTTGTAATTTTCTTTATAGATGGTATAAAAGTTTCACTGATAGTCTTTTAAAGATTGATTTCAGAATACTGAAATAACAATTCAAAACAATCAAAAATAAATTTAGATTGCGTTAGCTGGTAATTATAAAACATATAGCTATAAATCAACTGTAAGTTGATTTGTACAAATATGTGTCTTGTTTCCAAGAATTTAGAAAAATAAACTTTTTCCTACTATACGTGCTGCCTAGGGGTCCCCAGATGACCCTCAGGTTCAGTACCACTTGAACTACTAACAGGACTCAGCATATAGTTGTACTCCTGACTATAATTTATTGCTATAAAAGAATACCAAGCACAATCAGTGAAAGGGAAAAGGCACATTTGGCAAAGTCTCTGATTTAAACTGGGTGGAAGGGCCCAGTAGTCCTCTCCCAGAAAACCCAAACCCAAACTACTGCCACTGAGTTGATTCCAACTCATAGTGACCCTATATAAGGCTTCTAAGACTATAAATCTTTACGGGAACGTTCAGCCTCGTCTTCCTCCCACTGAGCGGCTGGTGGGTTTGAACTGCAAACCTGTGGTTAGCAGCCCAATGCCTAACACACAGCATCACCAGGGCTCATTGAAGTCACACAGGATGCACCTAATTCCCCCAGCAATGGCCTGTAACAACATAGATAAAATATTGCCAGCTATGGAAGCAAGTTTGAAACTCAGTGCCCAAAGTTTTTACAAGGGGTTGGTCACTTAGGCACCCTCTATTTAGCACATGCCAAAATTCTAGACCACCAGAAGGAAAGTAGATATTCAGACTAAACCACAAATGTTTGTTTATGGAATTTCTGCTTAGTGAGCTACTCTTACCAGTTCTGGAACTGGCGGATTCTGAAACACAAGTATCCAGACACCTTCCAAAAGTCAACTGTGTAAGTAAGGCACTTAGGCCTTCTTTGTTAACTATTTTCTACACACGTACCTATAAATATGCCAATTTTTAATAGAAATGATAAACTCTTCTTTTTTAATAGTAATTTTTCTCAAATTTTTTTTTCATTTTCATACCAGTGAGGTGAAATAAATCCACATGTAAATATTTGCATATGAAAAATAGATTGTTTTCTTGACAGAACTGTACCTAATGAATAGTTGTAGTTGATGTCCAGTGGTGGTGATGTGCCGTGGAGTCGGTTCCAACCCATAGTGACTCTGCATAGGGTTTCTGAGACTGTAAATCTTTACAGGAGCAGAAAGCCTCATCTCTCTCCCGTGGAACAGCCAGTAGTTTTGAACTGCTGACCTTGATGTTAGAGCCTGACTCCTAACCACTAATTGATGTTCAGTAAGGTATATTGATTTTAATACTGCATTATAATTCCAGAGTGAAAAACAGTTTTTCATACCTATGTAATCTTTAGCCCGCCTATAAATTTTAATTGTACTATGTATTAATACTGTTTTACTAATGACAAATTCTCTATTCAAACAAAATCTAGGTTTTGAAATAATATTCTTTATTAAATGGGTCCTGGAAATATGCTTTTAGGATAATCTAGTACAATATGCATCCTCTACTCCAGGTTGTATAATGAATGGGATATCTAGTGATATTTATGTTCAGAAAAAATAAAGCTGTAGAAAGAGAACATGCATATTAATTTATTTGTATCAATCATGTATAGAATGCATACCTGAAGAGTAACTTCAAATTTGAAATGGTTGAATACCTTTGAACCCCCAGGGAAATATAAAGAGTCTTGGTGTGACACTGTAGAATAAGCACTGGACTGCTGACCGCAAGATTTGTGGTTCAAACCCACCAGTCACTCCTTGGAAACCTTATGAGTTGGAACCAACTCGATGGCACTTAACAACAACAGGGAGCTTACTTTGCATAATGTGATGCCATTTATGTAGCATTTGCCAATTTTAAAATTGAATGTCAACATAGGATAAAAAATGGTTTTGACTATTAAGGTAATTTAAAGGATTCTCAAAGAAATTAGCTGACGTTTAATCTTTTTCTGCCTTAAGTGTGATGAATTTAATACTGTAATAATGTAATACAATACTTGAAACAAACTGGCCATGCCCATCCCTTGCATTGGTTGTAGGTACATTATAATTCTTCAAATTGAAGTGAAAAATGTGTTTCCTGATATTGGTAGTAATTTGTGTTTCTTTGAATTACATATTAAAGTATACATTGCATTATTTAATCAGTATATTAAAACATTTTGAAAAACAGCATCAGTCAATGTAGTTATTTCAAGTACCTGTATTTTAAGACATATTGGCTTGGGGCAGCAGTGTGGGCTAATGTGCTGGACTATAAGATTGGTTTGAAAAGCAAAGTCTGCAGTTAACATTCACCAGCTGCTCCTTGGAAACCCTATACAGGGTCACTGAGTCAGAACCGACTCCACAGCACTGAACAGCAAAAACATAGACATACTGGAATGAACACAGGGAAGAGCAATATAATATGAAAAATTTAGCAAATAAGTATTACTGAAAAATGTTAAAGGATTTTGGGCTACCTTGACTTTCTGAAAAACTTACTGAACTATCAATAACTGACTATTACTTGAATGAAGTCCTGGTGTGGCACTATGGGTTAATGCGCTGGACTGCAAAGTCAGTTTGAACTGTAAGGTTGGTGGTTCAAGCTCACCAGCTGCTCCTAGGAGACCCTATACAGGATCGCTATGGGTCAGAATCGACTCGATGGCACTTACCAACAACAGCAACTGTACTTGAACAGTTACTGCAAGAATAGTATTATGAACTTTTTCATCTCCACTTATAGCAGATTTAGAAGAAATTATACTAAATTTAACGTAACAACAAATGCTATAGAATCCATAATAGTGAAAATCAAGAATAATTCAAAGTATACTTGGCACCCGAGTCTTGTTGTGATGGGAATTTCAGTCAGTGTGTGTATGTTTTCTCACATTCTTAGATTTCTATTACAGTTAACTCTTCAAATTTAGACTATTAGCAAGATTGTGGATTTTTTAAAAAATTATTTTTGTTGGCTATTGAGCCCTGGTCTGGTGCAGTAAGATAAGCACTAGACTGCAAGGTCTGTTTGAACTACAAGGTCAATGATTTGAACTCCCAGCCGCTCCTTAGAAACCCTAGACAGGGTCCCTGTGAGTCAGAACTGACTTGACACACTTAGCAACTGCTGTTGGTGAAATCCAGGACCTGATTTTGGTAGATAAATTGGTATTTTAAAGAGTTAGGATATTGACAGTATAACCAATTCATATTCTTAGGTTTCATTTGTTGAGATAATGTAGAGGCAATCCCACAAATTTAAGACACTTAGCAAGATCCTGAATTTTTAAAATGAATATTAGTGAATTATTTGGGTGGCTAAATAAATAGGTTAAAGGCTTAAAATATTGAAAATACAGAAAGTGACAATTACCTTGGTAAAATAAAAACACTGAAGTGCCCAGTTACCAAGCACCATGCCATTCACTCTTTTAATTTAGAAAGTTGTGTATCATTTGTTATATGTATTACAGAAAATCTCATGTTGTTTCATGGGATTACTTCTTATGCAAGATAAACTGTAATAATTAGAACAACAGAGCTCTGTTCCTGAGATCATCAAGACATGAAATTATAGTTGTCTGCCTTTTACTTAATACTTCCTTATAATAGAAACCTTTGTGTGTTGGATAGTAGAGATGCAATCTTTGCTTAATATGGTTATTGGACTGGATAACCTATTTAAAATGTCATCCAATTCAGCAGGGAACTTATGGATTAGTGCTTTCTATATTGAATTTAATAATGGAGATATTATGGTGTGGCACAAAGAGCACTATTCTAGGATTCACAGCATATGAGTCACTAATAAGAAACCTCTCTGTGCCTCATTCCTGCACTAATTAAATGAGGAGATTCAGACTAGTTCATTTCAGTCACCCCCTCCAGTTTTAAATTTTATAGTCAATAGATTTAGAGAGACAAGTACCTCTCCCTTTGAAAGACAGGTCTGTTACACATTTGAATTTTAATTTGAAATCTTGTTCAAATTGAGGTTTTCATTCTTTTAGAACCAATGACTGATTTAACATCAGAACTTAATTGAGTAAAACCTGTGAAAGCCGGCACCTATGTAAGGTGGAACCCTGTCAGAATAGGGAAGCTCAGATAATTTCCACTAATGGAGAACTGTAGAAAAATGTACACTATCAAAGGTGGAAAACTTGGGATACCCATAAAAGCAAGCCATTTCTTTCTTCTTATGGTGCTCACGGGTTTCACTGTATGAGTGTATTTATCAGTTATTAGTAATTGTTTGTTGTCATTGTTGTTAAGTGCCATCGAGTCAGTTCCGATCCATAGCTATCCTATATAGGATTTCCAAGGAGTGGCTGGTGAGTTTGAACCACCAACCTTGAGATTCAAACCGACTTCGCAACCCAGCACATTAACCCACAACTTCATACCAGGACTCTTTACTAATTGTAGGTAAAGGAAATTGATATTTTGAAATTGATACATTGCATGCTGTTTTCTAGAGAACTAGATTGAAATTAAACTACCATACAGACATTTAAATTCCCAACTAAATATGGAAAGACTTCCATGATTTTTCCACTTTATTTAATCACTTGATTTAATTATACTTTATTTAATTACCACTCCTTTGAAGATGAAGGAGTCCTGGTTTGGCGCTGTGAGTTAATGTCCTGGACTGCAAAGTTGGTTTGAACCACAAGGTTGGTGGTTCAAGCTCACCAGCCACTCTTGGAAACCCTGTACGGGGTTGCTATGGGTCGGAAATGACTTGACGGCATTTAACAACGACAGCCTTCCCTGAAGATGTAGGCTTTCACATTTTCTGATGAGTGCATTTGTTTTGATAGTTAGATGAAAAATTTATGCAAGAACTCAGCCTGGGAGCGTCCATTTCCCATAAGCTTTTTTTTTTTGCAAAAAAGAAAATATATTCATGCCATTTTTGTTTTAAATAATTGTGTTTGACTATCTTAAAGGACAGGTCAGTAAATCTACATTCAAAGTGTACATACAGTAAGTGAAGAAGGAAAAGGATTTTCATAGTTAAATGTCTACCCTTTTCAGGTTCCCCAGCACCACCATTGCCATCTGTAATGTCTCCTAGCAGGGTTGCAGCTAGTCAACTGGTTCAACAAGGAAGTGATTTAATTGTTCCTGCAGGTATTCACTGCACTGATTGAATAAAGTCCTTTCTGCAACTGCTGAAGCTAAACTAATTCACTCAGTTTCATAATCACTTGCTTTATAGTCTTAGGTGTGTGTTATTCTGACTTTCTTGCTGCGTTTTTTTGTATATATAATAATGAAAATCTTTCTCACTGTAGCTTATCTTTCTGTCTTTTCAGTCATTAAATCCTGAAATTTAATTCATGTAAGGTTTAAAAAAACATATATATATTAATTTTAAAGCATTCTCTTTTTTTGCTCTGGAAAATGTATTCAGTTTTGCTTTACTTGAGCCTTAACTCACAGCTTTGCAGCTCTGCTTTGTACAATTTTTTTTTTTAAAGGTAGCATTTGGGTGGTGTGTGGGAACAACTAACAAATGGGCTGTTTATTCTTGGGAATGGGTCAAGTGGAAAGGTTTGTATCTTTTTACTTTTGGCTTCAGTTTACAAAGTTTATAGATTGCAACAAAATACATTGCAGTGGACCACAAAATCAGTATGAACCTCAAGATTGTCTGTTCAAACCCACCAGCTGCTCCTTGAAAATCCTATACAGGATTGCTGTGAGTCAGAACTGACTCAATGGCACTAAACAACAATCCAGTGAAAATTAGTTGGGAATAATTAGCTTTTGAGCATTTCATTTGCTGTACACTTTAATATGTCTAGCCTATAAAAATGGGTGTCCTGGTGGGGTGTTATAGGATAAGCACTGGACTTCTAACCACAAAGTCAGTGTCCAAACCCACCAGTTGCTCTGTACAGGGTCTCTATGAGTTGGAACCAACTCGATAGCAAACAAAAACAGGATGTAATTAGTTAAGGTGGTTCTAAAAATAGAAACTTCACATTTTTTATGATATGTTAACATTTTTTATTTTGTTTTTATGGAATTTTGTAAATTATTAAACATGTTTTATATTTTACACTGTTCTTGATCTTAGACTGTAGTAAAGCTAAGATGGTAAAAGCTGTCTCACTATAGGAATGAATGAAAAGGAAGTTTTGCCAAACGTACTTTTTTAAAACCATTTTTCTTATTGTTTCTCTTATCTTTATTTTATTGTTCTTAAATTATTGGAAAGTTTCTATAGGAAATTATTAGTTTGATAAACATTAAACAGTTTTCTGCTGTGAAAAATATTGTACTACTAGAAATATATGGTTGTAGAGTTATTTTTAGTCTATAATTTCTTAATTATTAGAACAATATTGTGTCAGGGCTTAAGCACTGCCTTTATTAATTATAACTTTTTTTTTGTATCTCCTGGGAGAAAAGAGTTACAATGTAGATCATGTTTCAACCCAGAATTTTGTACTGGTGGTAAAATATTTTAATGACTGTTTGAAATTTGAATTTTAAATCTTCTAAAATTATAGCACTGTTCTGTTTTACTCTGGTCTGTGTAGTACAGTGAAAGGAGATCGCTGTGAGAAATACATGTCTTCCAGGCCTTACTGGTGAAGGCTTTTCTTTAGGGCCCTTACATTAAGTTCTGAGATAAGATTCATTTTAGAAATTTTATTTTTATTGAAGTTAACAGTAGCTTATAAAGCAAAAAATACCAATTGTAGCAGAATTTTTTTTTTTATTGGAAGACAGTCAAACTATTAAGATATTTGTGTTTTGATCATTGGTTGACCTCCCAGATCCTCTGAATTTGTTCTTATATTTTTGTTCTGTTCTGGACATCTCCATTTGTTGATTGAGTGCCATGTATGTCATTCTCTGGTTGTTGTCTGTTCTTGTTGCTTCTCAGTCCACAGAACTCTCTTTAGGATG